GGGGGGGGGGGGGGATAGACCTGCTGTACTGGGTGTCCCAGAGACTTTCTGATACTGAGTTGTTCCAGTGTTTGACTAATGAGCTAGCCCCTGAGGATTCGCAGTCTACTGCTATTACTTCTAGACTGTTTTGGCTTTTATTGGTGCAGTACGCACCACTCTGAAACTAGAGGATCAGCCTGTTTTGTTTTTTCTAGCCTTAGGTCGTTTAAAACTCATAAGGCCTCAAAGACTTACTCTTTGCACCCCAATGTTCATAGAGAAACACCTTGGCAATCCGTTTGCTCTTTTTAAACGCAGCTTATCTAATTTCGCAACTGTTTTGTGCACAAGTTAACTATTCCCACTGTGGATCCAGCAGGGTTCCACCTTTTAACAGGGTGCTTTCTATTCCAGTGGGCGGATGTGCCGGTCTTTAAGGACCCAACTGATAAGCAGTTGAAGGCCCTTTTGTAGAGCTCTGTTCTCGCTATGCCCTTCATCCGATTCTGGCTGTGAACTAACTTTATCAAATCCTGCCTGACTGGTCTAAATCCCTTAAGATATCTGACCACTGCCAAGGTTGATCTGCTTATAGGATGTGTGAAGCAGATGGCTGTATCTTTAAATTTCAGCTATGACGGATTACTAGAAACCTCTTTCTCACATGCATCTCGTGTCAGTTGAGATGCATAGGACACTTTGGATAAAGTGCTGGACTGCAGAACCTTTGATCTCCTTGCTTTTCAAGGGACAACGTCTTCAGACCAGCTTTAAAGACATCCCCATCTATCCAGCACTTGAGGTTCCTTTGCTTTGCTATCCTATTTGCCATTAGACGCTGTACCAATTGTAGAAAACTTCCTGAACATGCTCAAAAACCTGTATACAATCTGTTCAGCAACAACACTAATTGTGGTTTGAACTCGCAGCCACTAGTGATGAGGCTGGGCTTGGGTGTGAACCCAGTTCACATGAGTTCACCTGAACCTGCTCAAAACTGACTACCACCCCCTCCTTCTAACCCAAGTGAGGAGTAGGGAGTGGCGGTCATGGTTTGTAGTGGGCTTGGACAAACTCATGTGAACTAGGTTTGTACCAAGCCCAGCCTCATGACAGGCAGCCACTTGGCCATATTGCAGGTGAAACTGCCTTTTGAAGGGGGTGGTAAGTAAAAAGTGATGTGTGTTTTTGGTTTTTCCTCCCCTAAAATATTACTTTTTGCTTTTTTTTCCATTTTTTCAATCTAGGCGATGTATTTCTGTGCTATGATCCTCACAAAGATTATTGGTGTTACTTAACTCCCATGAGTGTGCCGAGAGTTCAAGGCATGGCAGCTGTGTACAAAGAGAACATCTACTATGTAGCTGGAATCCGAGGCAACCAGCGGGTGCTCACCGTCGAAGCTTACGATGTCGAGCAGAACCGGTGGACTCGAAAGAGCGATCTTCCATGTGAACAGTCTTCTAACCCGTACATCAAACTTTTGGTCCTGAAGGGTAAACTCCACTTATTTGTGCGTGCGACCCAAGTCAGCGTAGAGGAGTTCGTTTTCCGAACCAGTCGAAAAAATTCCCTCTACCAGTATGACGAGGTGGCTGACAGTTGGAAAAAAGTCTACGAAACACCCGAGAGGCTATGGGACTTGGGCCGTCACTTTGAATGTGCAGTTGCTAAACTTTATCCCCAGTGTCTTCAAAAGGTTTTGTAGACTTTAAAATGGCTTTTCTAAGCTGCCATGGGGAAGAAGGAAAAAAAAAAAAAAAAAAAACTGATCAAAAACAAACAAAAAAAATATTTGTCAGTATTTAATGTTTGTTAAAAAGTGGACAGTTTTCTGTATTTGTGGATGGGTGCTTTTCAAGGTTGCAGTATGAGTTGGTGAAGGGGTACAGCTATTCTTTTTCGTTTTCTCACCACTGTTTTTTATTCGGTGAAACCTGAGTTTACAAAGTGCAATTATCGGCATTGTCTTCATAGCGTACATTTAATCACTCCGTTTTGTGTTTTTTTTTTTTTTTTTTGTAGGTACAAAATATTTTTAAAGTAAGTTATTGATTTGCTATAGAGGAACCAAGATATCTATGCACTAGAGCGAGCAAAACTGCAATTGATAAAAAAAAAGAATCTACGAACTCCTGTTGGCTCATAAGTTTTGGACATCCCAACACCGGAGGTTTTTTTTTTGGGAGGGCAGTTCTTGTTTTATTTTAGTATTAATGGGTATTAGGCCGATCAAAACTACTGCTTTAGTTTCAATTGATGCCAGTTGGTTGCATCATCCAGCTTACCTTTTGGTGGACTCCCATTGCCTAGATTAGTATCCCTGAATTCCTATTTCCATTGACTTGTAGTGGGCCTTACAAAGGTGGTCTGGATTAAATATTCTTTTTTTTTATAAAATATATATTAAACTTGCTGTGCTTGGGCAGTAGGCCTTTTTGTCCTGGAGTTGCCGAGTTGAAGACTCTCCCAGCCGTAGTTGCGTATATATAAAAATTAAATGCAACTGTGTCGCTGGGTTAAAATGTAGCAAAGCACCACCTTTTAAAAGAGGCATTATACCTGCATGTTCTGATCTCTGCTCCTACAATCTCCACTTCTATGATCTCCACTCTAAGGGCTACGGCTGCCTGCAGAGTCACAATCGACACTTCTGGGAGTGTCGGATGCCTGCACTGGTTCCTTCCATTGACCTCTACACTGCTTTGTCCTGTGATGTAGGAACTAGGGGAAGAAGCCACAGCATGCAACATGGAACTGTGGCTGATGTGTGGAGGTCATTGCTCAGATCAAAGGAATGGGCAGGTATAACGCTTATAACCCAGCCATATTCGCTTGAACCAATAGGTGACTTTGTCCATCGGCATCTGCAAAAAAAACTAAACGGTGGTTTTGGGAGGATCTGCTGTTTACATAACATGAGTAATATAGTTTTTGGTGAAAACGTACTCTCTTCTTGGTCAACCTTTTTTGACTTGACCACGAAAGGTGGTGGAAATCTTTGCTACCCCCTTAGTTGTCCTGGTAGGTTTGCTAATAAATGAAAGCAGTAAATACCGTCTCCTACATCATATATGGAAAAATCCCGTGCATGGTGTCGGAGATGGTCTATCTCGGAGTGCCTTCATTGCTACACCGTGGCACAATAAGTCGACGTGGTACTGCATCTTTTAAGGTTTGAAGAATTAATACGGGTAATATCTGAGGCAATATCACTCGGCTTTGTGTCTTTCCCTCCCTTTTTTATTTAGAGAATGAATGCATTTTATTATAAAACACTAGAGAGAAGTGGGTTTTATCCATCTACCATCATCCCTCCCTTACAGCTCACGACGTACTGTAATTTTTCCACCGTCATAGAGGCTGCAATACACATTTTTCATTTTTGTAGAGTTTCTCATTTTGGGCTGTTTTAATGCTTCCTTCAGTATTGATTTTTATCTTGTATAGATTACTATGTATTTTATTTGTTGGAAAAAGCACGTTTAGAGCGGGTTTTTGTTCACATGCTTTAATTTTTGTATTTCAATGGTGCTATCTTTGTAGGAAAAACAAAACAAAAAAAAAACTAGAAGACCAAATCTAGGATATTTAACCCCAAAATGTGTTCTTTTTTTTTGTTTTTCTTTTTGTAAATGTATTCAAGTAGGGTTCTATTGGCAGAATAGATTTGAGGCTGCATGTGCACACTTCTAAACGTACAAAAAAAAAAAACTGCTGACGCTCCCAAGTATTGTACATTTTAGAAGTACAGAGCTTTTTGATCATTCACTCCTGAAATACTTGTGCATGGTTCTAGCTGCACGTTTGCAGCTACTTGAATGAGTAGAGTAATAAGCTATTTAGAAACGGGAGTTGAGTTGGAAGTGGAGTTTAAATGTTTTATTCTGTTCTGCCTTTTGGACCATCTGCAATGCAAATTTATCAAATTGGTTAAAAGTTCTGTTTTGATATGTTACCAATGGCTTGGAATAAGGGCTCGTTCACACTGGCGGACGTGCATTTTCGTTGTGCATCCGCTGGTGATCATTGGGCAACAATGCGGCATAACACATCGCAGTGTTTTTAAAAAAATTTTTTAAACTTTATTGAACATTAACATACACTTCATTTAGCAAAGTGCAACAGCCCTTTGAGACGTTTTATGGTGTGTTGCTTAAAAATGGGGACGGGCTGCATCTTTGATATTTATGATGTGAACAGCACATAGAGATGTGTCCTTGTGTTGAGCCTGGAGCCATGGTGTGAACGAGCCCTATAGCTAAAGCTTGATAGCAGTTTGACTTTTCTGTAGAAAATTGATTTACTTTCCAGGGTTTTGCTGTCATACACACAAGCCAATCCTATTGGACGCTACACTATGTTTGGATCAGAATTGCCGCCCATCACAGCCATATGCCCTAGAAGGCAAGTAGGCCATGTAGCTCAAATCCAGGCCTTCTGGATCCGTAGAAAAGATCGACACTTACTCATTGGAGACAAATTCTTCCAAATTAACTTTTTATCCATTGGTATTGCACCGACTGAATTTTAAGACAAACAATCCCTTGTTGAAATCTTTCACATATGGCCTTAATCACTTTACACTTAGGTTATTACAATCTTTTTACATGGCACGTATATAGTGTCTTGGTTCCGTATACCAGTTTAAGATGTAAAAAATATAAATATATATTTTTATTTTATTTATGTTTCAGATTCTTAGATTTTAAATCCATATATTTGCTGGGAAAATATATAACACTAACATGTATGCTAGTGCTCTTAATTCTAATTCATTGCACTCAGTTTCTTCAGTGGTTATAGCCCATCTCTTACAGAAACATTTAAAAGGGTTTCTTTTTTTCCCGGTAAATATCTTGTGTGCATAGCATGTAAAATCCAGGCTTTGTGTTCTTCTAGGCCATGGTCTCTAAGACCTGGTTCACATGGGCTTCACTTTTGCAGAGTTTTCATCAAGCTGAAAGGCATTAAATCCTAAAAATGCATGCAAGTACCCTAACTATTAACAAGAATGTGTATCTTATTTGTGTATCACTCGGCTGTAGATCCTCAAATCATCTTCAAATTGGGGCAGACACTGTCCTTCTGGAGGGTGGCTGCTTTGGTTCCCCATGGTCCCTGTGTGTGTCTGTAAAGTAGCCACCGCTCCACGCTCACTCCTGTGGTGGACTACAATCTCATGTTACATTCATATGTAATGAGCTTATAGTCCATCCCAGGAGTGAGCTTGGAGCAGTGACTACTTTACAACACCCATAGGGACCATGGTGAACAAAAGTAGCCCCCCTCCAGAAGGAAGGACAGTGTCAGCACCAATGCAGAGATTTGAGGATCTACAGCCGAGTGATACACAAATGAGATACATTTTTGTTAATAGTTAGGGTACTTAAATGCATTTTTGAGTTTAGTCACTTTTAAAGCAGTTTTTGTAGAAGCTTTTAAGTAGGGATGCACAGATATCGATACTAGTATCAATATTTGGGCGAGTACTCGTACTCGCCCAAATGCTCCGATGCCTAGCCCGATACTTGCTGTATCGGAAGTGGCTTCTTGCTCTCTCGTCACTTGTGATGAGAGAGCATGGAGCCGACTTTCAGGCCAATCCGGAAGCCATGCAGCGTGTAATGACGCGCTGCCCGGCTTCCTAAGTGGTCAGGAAGCTGGCCAATCGGGAAGCCGGGCGCTGTGTAATGACGCAGCGCCCGGCATTCTGATTGGCCGGGAAGCCGGGTTCATGCTTCATCTCATGATGGTGCATGGAGCCGGCCAATCGGAAAGCAGGGCGCCGCGTCATTACACGGCGCCTGGCTTCCATGATTGCCGGCAAGACTGCTCCGGCTGGGTACCGGAGGAAGGCCGCGTTCTGGCTGGAGAGGCCACGGGGTGACAGGCTGGACATGCCGAGGTAAGAGGGGACAGTCTTGTTAATCAGGAAGCCGGGTGGCGAGTCTTTACACGCTACCTGGCTTCCTGAGTAGGACTTCCGTTACTCAGTAATTGGTATCGGCAAATACCGAAAAATTATCAGTACGAAAATACCGGTATCGGTGCATCACTACTTTTTAAGCATCATTCTACTCCACTATGGGGGAGGTTTTACACAGATCTTCAAGGGAGCGCTGACTGTCATTTTCAACAAGCTGTTAGCTGGCTCCTGTAGGTTTCAGCACTACTTGAAAACCTGAAAAGACCTACTAACCAACTTTCAACAGCTTGTTAGAAGTAGAGCAGAATGGTGCTGTGAAAGTGACTGTCAGCACTAGGTTGCTTTTTACCTAATGGGTCACATATAAAAGAAGCATGGATATACTTTTCAGAGCTCCATGCATTGAGAAGCCACTGCTTCTCTTCTCCCTAGCCTCTGCAAGTATTGGACCGGTCAGCTGTGTCAAAAAGGTGCTCCCACTGCCGGCCAAGTCTACTGGCTCCTATGTGCTGTAGTCAGGTACGAGCAAGTATTCGAAACATCCAAAGTGTAAAATACCTGCAGCGGTTGGGGTTTGGAGAAGTGGTGGGTTTTCAATATATGGGTCGCCGGAAAGTATGTCTCGGCTTATTTCACAGGGAGCTCTTTGGCAAAAGTGACCCTGTGGTGATGACCAAGCTTGCGATGAGCATTTCTGTTATACAAGCTGAAGCCCATATGACCAAGACCTAAAAGATTTGTGTGAAGAATGAGACTTTTAGATGAAAGTGACTGGAATGGGAGATCTTAACAGGTTGGAAGCTTCTCCCTCTTGTTCTAAAAA